TTCTTCATCTTGCCACTCAGGTGTTGGAGCTCAGTTTAACTCAAGGATGAAGGCTAAGCTCTCTGAGAAAGGATGAGGTTTTATCCTCGTAATTCTGCAGCATTTCTCACAGGAACACCAAAAACCTGCATAAGTCTTCCTGGTATTTCTGCAGTGAAGATAGTAGCAGTCTACTCTGCACTGTTTTAGTGTCTAGAAGTCCAATTTTGAATCCTGGGAATTTACCATTCCATTGTAATCATCTGAGATTTTCTATACTGTGGATTAATAGTGAGAATGGAAACCATCTGATCATACATCTACAAGCACCTCATCAGCTTTAGTCACAACAATAACAGAAAAAGGGAGTGATGACAGCAACAGACAAAGCTACTGCAAATTTATTATACTCAAAACATAGGAGTAATGGATAAACCTTGCTCTAAAAGCCTTGTGCAACCAAATATTCTGATGTCTTGTTTAAAAAAATATCTTGTTGATTTAGTTAAATAGTCAGCCTTTCCATTACACTGTTTTAAGCTTCTGTCAATAGGCAAACTACTTAGAGAAAGTATTGCTGAAGAGAAGGATGATACAAAAGCAAGAGAGAAAAGAAAAGTGCAGAAATAGAGTTGATGCAAACACAAGCTTAAGAGAACAGGAAAAGAGAAAGTTTTTACAAGTGTTTTTATTTCCTCAAAATAAATAATTTCTGCTACTCAAGGGAACACAGACCAAGGGAGAATTTTTCATCTTCCTGACTAAATGATAACTTACAGTAAAAGCTCATCTTCTGAAGACGCAAACAAAACCAGAAGACAGCTTTATTTCACGTTACTACCAGCAATTGCAATGGGAGTGATGCCTGAAGGGATGAAGTGCCCATCCCTAGAGCACTGAAAGACAGAAAGGTTTAATCTAGGCTACAGAGTCCCCATCAGGTATCAGATAACTCAAGAAAAATTACCCCACACATGCCTGTAGCGATGTGGCTATGAACACGTTTTCCCTTCGTAAACATGGCACCGTTCCCGAGGTACTCTTTGCTGAAGGTTCCCACCGGCTGATTCACCTGCCCAGCAGCAGACCTTATGACTCCATAACTCACCTCAGGCAAAATCTGGGCGCAATCACACTGCCAAGTTACGTTGTTTGAGATAATGGGATGGATTTTCTATGTAGCAAATTCGGGAGTACTCACACAGAGCCAGGGGAGGAATGGCTGGGTGGCAGTTCTGATGGAGTGGCACATGGAGCGCATGGAAACAACAGCCTCTTTCAGCAGCACAGCTGAACATGGAGAGCTATCTGGGGCTGTGTAAATGTAAGAGCAAACTACTGTGTTCCACTGGCACCTCTAATTCTGCAGGACAGGTTTTCACATTCTGACTCCCACAGAAAATGAGAAGGCAAAAATGAAAAGAATTTAATGTTGTCAAGTAATTCTCCAAGGCAAACCAGTCTCGAGTTAAAAGAATAAGAAAACTCTCCTCCTTTAAAATCCATCTACTCTTCCTGGTTTATCCTGCAGAGGAATCATAATCCCACAATTGATGAAACCACAGCACGTTACCTTGGTAACTGATAACTCAAATTCAGTCTCAAGAATACACTCAAAGGCCCTACTGCATGAAAAGTTAGGCTAAGGAAAGTATAATTCATGTTGAAAGGTAAGTAGAAGAAAAAGGTGCCACCAGTAATTCTGATTACAAAGATTACACACAGTAAATATAAGTGCACTGGGAAAAAAGGAATATGATTACACTGTGTCAATACCAAGACTGCAAATATAAACCTATCTTAGGGAGCTCTGAATACATGTTATGGCAACATCTACAGTTATAGCAATATGCTGTTGCTCAAAAGCATCAAATTATTGTCATAACATTTTCTACCATCCAAAATGAACATGTGGTGCATTTTTTGACATCTTTCTCACTGTTATGTGCTAGACAAAATTTTTCTATTACAACAGTCAGGTTCACCAATATAAGCAAACATTTCATCCCACTCTTTAAGGTATACTTTTCAATGGTTTGGTCAAATCCCTGGGTATTCCCCATTATTTTAACAAAAAGCAGCAAAACTTTTCTTAGGATTAAGTCCAGCACCGAGGCAGTTTCAGGGTCAAAGATCTATCTGTGTAAATTTGCAGTGCAAATTAAATATGTTATGCTTAAATTATGGTATAATATACAATCATGGGATACTGCAAATTTTTCACTTATGTAACGTTCGTGAATTGTACGTAGCATAACATCCTTTATTTTAGAGTAATTTTAGAAATGCATCTATGGGTGTAAACACTTTATGATTTTATATGTTATGGAACCATACAGCAAGCTTCAAAAATAAAACATATCAGAATTAAGGCAGAATTTATAACTCTAAACTTAGAATCTCAGCCTCTATATGAGTGCTTCACGGTGCATCCTCAGGGCTTCCTGTCAAACTTAAGAGAGAGATGCAAAGAAAAACAAAGATGTAACCCCACACTTTCACAGAGAAATCAAACATGAAAAATTCTGTCCCAAAGGCAATGGTTTTGAAAACCATTAGGCAACCAGCTTTGGCACACACCTGGATTGTTCTTCAGAAAGCTCCATCTTTTAAGTCCTATAAAAGAAAGCGATTTTAAAACGCCTCCATTTCTACACGACCTTGAAAATCCTATAAGCTGGCAAAGGCACTGCAGAGCGCTCTCATGAAAACATCATCAGGAAATTAGGTCTTCCTTAAAAAGCAGAACATGAAAACAACGCGATCTGCCTCACTAATCTGCAGTTTCCATGTGGAGGGGGGTTGCAGAACACTCAGCACACCTGAAGAGCACCACTGACTCTGCTCTCACAGAAGGGCACTTGTACTGATTCAAGAGAAATAGAGAAGGCCCTGAAATGAGGGAAAAGAGAAGAATTTATTCCATTACCATAACATCTTTTTATTTTTTGGGTCCTTGCCCTGTCAGCTCCAGAAGACAACTCTTCAGCTGAATGGAACACATCTATAGTTTTCTAACCATTGCAATTATCATTATTGCTTACCAAGAGACACCTTCCACTCTATTTGATGACTGCTTATGATAGTACTTAAAAGGAAGTAACTTAAGTTTTTTTGGCTTTGTGAGATAAAAGCTGTAACTGATATCCTATTTGCCTGTGTAAGGTGTCAGCCCAAATCAAAGCTGAGAGCACACTTTTTTACAACTTTACAATGAAAGACTCAAACAGACTGGTTAAATACATTTCATAGCTTATGCAGAATAACAGACATGTTCAGGGCATTGAAGAGAGTGACGGAAAATCACACTGATGTCGCTAAGCATGTGAGAAACCATCCAAAAAGGATAGTCCTAAATCATGCCTTTCACACTGGGGAGGCAGGTGGAAATCGCAAGTTTTGTTCCATAACTAAAAGGACTCTTGACGCTTGGAACGTAGGTAAAAACCAGTACATGTGTGTCTACATGTACACACACAAAAGCACTGCAGGAATGTGGGGGAAGTTTGGGTGAAAGTGTAACTACTACTTTACCTGCAAAACGTTTTTAATAGACACAGTGGATTTCTGCCAATCATAGCAGAAAAGCTTGTTAACACCAGGGGGAAGAGAAGGGAGTTGGACAAAACAATAAATATTCCATTTTTTTTTTAAATCAAAATCAGTATGCTTGGGTTCACTTTCTAAAGATTCTTTCAAGTTGACAACTGCACCTACCTCACTGTGGAATATTTGTACCTTCTTATCTGAAAAAAGGTCTGAAAAATGTAGAAAGGTAACTTTGCACCTGTGAGCCCTCACTAGAAAACAAAAATGATACCATCTGTCTCTCTAACATTATAGGGATACTTGCCTGGTAGACAGAAACTCAGAGAAGCAAACAGATAAAAACCACTCCGGTCTCGGGACTATTTATACAGAACCAAGTCCTAACATGTCTGGCACTGAAAATAAGAATTCCAGGATGCCAGCACAAATCTCTCATGCTTGTAAAAATGCTGATGTTGCAGATGCATTAAAGATCAATATTACAATCAAAAATCTGTTGCACGAAACTCACCAGTACTACACAAATTATATACAGCTGAAAAAATAGTTTTAATTCTTCTTATGTGAGAAAGAAATTACAAATTATTTTTAATGACTTTAAAAACCTCGATATAAAGTCACATCATTAACATCTGGGGAAAAAGAACACAAAGGAAAATATAGGATAAAATACACAATTTTAAAAAGCACCAATATTATACAAAGCTCCATAAAATAAAGTGATTGTGGGGTTTTTGTTGCTTTGTGGTTTGTTTTGGGGGGTTTTGGTTTTTTTTGTTTGGGGTTTTTTTGATTTGTTTTTTTTTTACACTGAAGAGTAGCACAAAGGTTTGTTCTGATTTCCTTGTATTTGGAGTACCATTATCACTAAGGAGCTGTTTCATTTGTTGCAGCAGACTTGCACATCAGAAAGTCTCTTGTCAGACTTCTGAAGCAGATCTTGACAAATCTGTGCTTAGAGAAAGCAATAAGGAATGGAGCCACAGGAGAAGATTGGAAGACGTGGTGGCAACGACCTGCTGTGGACAAAGTTTTCTTCGAATCACCATCTCATGGAATTGCTCTACTTAGCCTTCAGTATTGACACTGAACCAGAATGTTCACCTTTCCTTACAAGTTTCCTATGGGGTAAGACACACTCCGATTTTTTTTTTTCTCAAAATGGTAAATTCAAATAAAATCTAAAATAAATTAAATGGCATCAGTCTTCAAATGAAAACATTGTGGTTTGAAAAGGTTTTCATTGTAGCACAAAAAAAAAAATGAGGATAGCAAGCAGTTTGAGCACAAAACGGAGCTGTTATTTGATAAATAGCTTTCCATCATTCAAGGCTATGACTGTGCAAAACCTTGCTATCAGCACTCTCATCAAAGATACAGTTGACTCTATCTCACTTTTCTGTGATTCTTTCCATTTTTATTTACTCCAGACAGTGATTTAAAAAAAAAAAAAAAAAAAAAAGGTTGCTTACCACCTGTATGCAGCACCTTGCAGTCTGCTGCTGAAGGGTCATTTTCACCTTCTTTAACATTCCTGATGTTGTCTTTTTCAAGCAGTCTGTCCACCATGGCAATAACGCATTTTTTTTTTCCCACATTAGCCCACACCCTGTCCTGAAAAGAGCATAATTATCACTGCACCTTACTGAAGAATCTAAAAGAGAAAATACCAACTTCTTGTTAACATCTTAACATGGAGACATAGATGGGCACATTATTAGAAATATTAGGTGTTGGCATATTACAATTTTTCTCATTCTTCAACCTACTACTAGTTTAAGCCTTTTTCATGGACTTTTCCCCTCACAATGTAAATGACTGAACTGAAACTGTTTGGCTTTTTTATACATCCAAAGACGTGTGCTTCAAAGCCTACAGGAAAACACATGCAAATTATCTGTTTCAGGTCCAGTCACAGGGAACTGAGCAGTTTGTCTATTTGACATAACACAGCAAGAGTGCAGACACTCAAAACCTTGCCAAATCAAACCTCCTGTGCAAGTGTCAGTGTTGCCAAGGTACTTGGAAACCACCTTTTGATAATTTAACATGATTTATTATATTGCTTACTTTGTTAAAGCAAACGTAAAATTGAAAGATTAGAATTAGCCATTTGCTGTCACGATGTGTATTAAGTAACACAATTTAAATTTTGTTCTGCACCTCTCACAAACTACAATCATCATACTTAATTTAATTTTTATTATAAATACAAGAATGACAGAAGTAGTAGAGTAACAGACAGAAGTTTCTGAGGTATACGAATTCAAATTGCCTAGCATGGCTGCAGCAACGTAATTTCCCTTTCCTCACTCTGCTGGGGGAAGTTCAGTCCCAACACAAAGAGCGTTAAGCTCTTAATAAACACCTGGAGCTACTGCACAAGCCACCCACCTATGAGCCCTTGGTTTTGGAAAGAACCGTTTTCTCTTTTTAAATAAACTATTGACCCAGCATTGAGATGTCGTCTATACAATGGTCACACAAACTTACCCTGAGCGTTGAGAAGAAAATTTCATAAACATCTGTGGACAGAAAGCTCACTTTTATTGTATCTGGTCTTTTCACACAAGGGCAAGTGGGACAGAGGGAGCAAGGGCCTGTCTCACAGCTCTTTTTCTCCACATAAGAGGTTACTAGGATTAGAAGCTATCATTATAGGCAGACAAAAAAGTAGATGTGTTTATTGTTAATTGTGACGTTATTCTTTCTGCACCAAAGATAGCCACACTTTTCCAAGAGGGCTGCTGAAATTCTGCAGTTTGGTAAAAACAATTCCCAAGTAAAAATGCAGTTTCCAGTCAGTGAAAATCAAATAACTCCTTACTATTCTCCACAGGAAGAAACCCACCCATCCATTTCACATCTTTCTCATCCTTTACTATTCCCATAAAATCTTCCTGGAGCCCAGCACACTTGCCACCCACCTTTCAGCATCTTAAGTGGTCTCTTTTCAATACGCCTAAGAACTGCCTCACAAGTGATCACTTTGCAGCATGTGTCAGGTTAAAATACATGATACAGCCTCTCAGGTAAGCATTCTTACAAGCCCCCTGTGTGAAGTGAGGGATCAGAAGAAAATAAGTCTTATTTCTTCTTAATTCTACTTCATCCACCTAATTAAAACAATGTAATTCATATCCATCCACTCTGCAAGTATCAAGAAAACGCAATTCAACTCCCTCATTTCCTGTCATCACACCTGACTGGGTGGCTTCCTCCTGAGCACTGCTGGTCAGCGCAGTTCCAGAGACTGGCTTCTTGTTTTTAAAGGGTTCTCAGGCCTTCTAAAGTCACTACTGAGCTCCTCAGTCATCTCTTGTCCTTCCATACACACCACTATGGTTGCATGGTTTACTTGTGCCAAGCATGACACAGCAGCTGCATTCCCCAGTGCTCTGAAGATTATGTCTCTCCTTCGTGTGGGTTCACAGCCCACGTAACATCGTTTTGAGGTATGCTCATAGATAAATCAAATATCTTAACTAATGTGCACAATTAACAGCCTCTTGTGATGTGACAGTGCTTTGGAATGGAATATATTGTACCCAGGTCAGTATTCCAGACCTGTGTCTGAGCACCATGTCAGTCTTTGTACATAACTTATCGGAAGTGCTATTTTATCTGCTCGTTGTAGCACCAACCATGTTAAGCGATCAGAAATGCGGAGCAGAAATGGCTCCAAGTGGCAATGTGCCCACCTTTTCCTTTTCTTGTATTATATGTGACAACATGCTTTGTACCCTCCTGCAGGGAGGTTCTAGGACAGCAGAAGCAGCTGTCAGGAGAAGAAAATATCTACCCAAAGGCAATCTAAACCTCTCAAATTAAATATTTTTCTTTCACCAGTAATGCTTTACTACTGCCTACGTGTAGTGGACCAATATAAATAGTTCAATCCTTGCTGCTGACAGCTGCACTGGGTTGCATATTTCTATTTGGTATCAAAGGGAAGTGCAACACCACATTGCTATTGAGAAGGCGGCTTTTTGGAAAGCACTGGATGCTCAAGGAAAGGGCACCCAGCACAGTTAAGAAATTGGGAGTTATTCCTTAAAGATTAATCTGGATGCCAGGGAAGGGAGCGGATCTTGCCTTGTTTTTAAACATCGTGCCTTGAATTCACTTTTGTAATGGTCGTAAGACAATGTAGTCATTGGAAGTGGATGGAACTGTGTCAGCTTAAAGAGTTGTTGGATGTCACCGATTTAGATTTTGGGCAAAATTAAAATTGAAATTTCAATTGTAAAATGCAAATCTAGTGTTTTGCACTATTACCAAGCAAACAACAAATGAGGATATAGTGCTGTGCATACAAAGCAATGTACCTCAAGGTTTGGGTTTTTTTTTTTTTCTTTTCTATTTGACTTTAAGAGTAGATTAAGCATTTTTTCAAATTTTACATGTGTTTATTCTTTCTCTTGTCATTATGCTAATGACAACTGCATAATTAAAGCTTACATTATACATTACCTCCATCGACAGAAAGAACTGAAAAATAATGGAAGCGTAACGTTTCCAATTTAGAAGAAAACAAAATTGCTCTAACATTTATACTGTCTCAAGTTTGTCAGTGACTGACTCTAACTCAGAAAATACTTAAAGTCACGCTTAATTTTAATCAAGCAGGTAAACTTACTAATTAATCAGAAAAAACAGATACAATTTAAACTATGTGCTTATATGTTTTAATAGATGAGGACCAAGCACCCAGCAGAGAAATTTTTTTAGAAGTCAGTAATGAAATACAAGAAAGCTACCTTCTCTGCAGAGACAGAAGTACTAAATTAAAATACAACTTGCAAAAAAAGTGACATTTTTCCAATGCAAAATTTCTCCCTTTTATCAAATCCGTTGTGATAATTATTTTTCTGAAGGTTTCAACAGCTGGGAACAAACATTTTGGCTTTCATTCCAAGGAAAGAAGAACCATTCTAGCTCCTTAGGTTGTTGAGAAAACATGAAAAAGTGAATTCAAGGCTCTAAAACCAGAAGACCAATAAAAGAATGAGTTATTTGTTTATTGTTTAAATCTCATGACTAGTAAATGCATGAGGTTGGAGATAATTGTCTTTTCTCTAGATGAAAAACATTCTTCTTCCCTTATTTGTGGTATGGATAAAAATTACAGTTCAGGTGTAAGGTACTGTAGCTCACACTAATTATTAATTATTTACAAAAGAAATTAATATGCTGGCATCCTTAACATTTATGAGAATATACTGTGATGAACTGAAAGTAAGAGCCTGAACTGAATAAAAATAGCTTGCATTCAGGGTGTATGTAACAAAGAAGCAAATCTATTACGAACACATCCACCAAAATAATTAATTTACAAAAATCTCAGCCACATAAATAATACATATCTTTGAAAGACATGCTAAGAATTATACAATCTAAAAACCATGTTTAATTATTTTTCGCAATCTTAGACATCTTCTAAGAACAGAGTCTACGGGGAACAGCTCTGTTTTTCCAAGAGCTAATTCATGTGTGTTTAAACTACTTATATTCAGTCTTGGGGGAAAAAAAAAGGAAATAAACAGAGAGAACTTTCCCTCATAATAGCGTATGCTGTTCCAGTCTCCTTAAATCTGCCTAACTAGCAAAAAGAACTCAAGTAAGAGCAAAGAAAAACTTTCTTCCTGCCTGGGCAAGAAGATATTCATCATCTTTACTATTATATGCACAACCAAGCAGTCACACAGAAGCACACTGTACTTAGGAAAATTCTTTCAAGTTAGTTTCAAAACATACAATGCATCTGAAAATAAAATATTTCACAGTTTTGCATGCCTTTCCCCCTCCCCAGTAACATGTGACAAGGACATGAGGGCTTGCATTTGTTTATGCTGATTTGTAGGGTTGAGGCTTGAATACCAACCAAGAGTTTTGACTGCTTACCCACTCTTCCTCATCATACTCCGAATGATGGGGTATGGAGTCCTGTCTTTTCATCTTGGAAGGATGATCCTGATGCTGTAGATCATCCCCGTCTTCTGCACTATTTCGAGGCACAGCTGGTTTCTTGAGGACACAGCCAGGCCGGGCTGTGTATAGTGCTAAAAGGGCGCTTCTGATCAGCTGATCCTTAAATGCGTGCACAAATAACTCTGTCTAGGAAAAAAATAAATTAATGAAAAGGTTAGACCAAAGAATGCAATACTGCAACATCACGATTATAGCACTGATTTACCCTCAGGCAGAGTGGATATTTGTTTCAGCTCTGCCTGAAAAGGACAAAATAAAGTAGACCAACAAACAATGAGGAACAATTCAAGGGTTTCTGGGACATCATCACATTCTACAATCCCATTGTTCTAAGGATTAACACAGAAGTACAATATCTGTCACAGAGATCATAATCTTTTCACACAATCCAATTTTATTGGAGTTCCAAATTTTTCCTGCAGAGACAAGCCTCTACAAGCACCAGTTCCAAGAGTGTCCGAGCACTGCTTGATAATTTCCAAATTAAGTGTCAAAGAAAACATGATGAGCAAATTTAAGGATCTTCTTAAATAAAAACACACTGCTCTACCCTGCTGAGACTGCAGTATCTGCAAAAGCAGTGTTTCCAGATAAGTTTTGGTACCTGTAGGTATCAGCTCAGATAACGGGGCAGGTGATGACATCCGATTTCTAGCCTTATTTTGTTTAAAAAAAGGAAACCTTGAAGTAGTTTTTCCAGGCTCTCTGAAAAAGTTATTCAATCACTGTATCATTTTTCTAAATCCTTCTTGTTGACTGTGACAGTTGCAAGTTTACCATATTTTTAAAAACCCCAAACTCCCTGCATTGTTTATCTCCCTTCCACCCCAACAAGAAAATTCCACCACTTTATTTCTGCATATGGACTTTAGCATCTGCAGACTCTGTCTCCACATAACAGCACTTGCTGTTGCCACCAGTTTGCCACACGCCCATCTCCTGCAGTGACACAAAACACATGGCCCTGTCCCCACTACCCCTAGGAGGATGACCTATTTGCTCCATCAGCTGGCACAATTTACTGACCAGGAGAGGGTGAGGTGCAAGGACATGCTCCCTTTCACTACAGGGCGGTATCCACTAGCAAAGCCACAGTGTCAGACAGCTGGGCCAGTCACAGTTTTAGTTACTTCCAGCAGCATTCACCAGGGTTCATCCATCAGAGTGGGGAGAGTATGCACCCTGCTACAGTACCACACCCACCACATACCACCCAGGCATATACTCCTCTGCCCAGCCCTGCTTCACAGGTGATGATGAAAAACTCTCACTTCTTTCACAGCACAATTACCTGAATTTATTTATCCTGGGTCAGTGGGATTTAAGTTGCCTTCCTATCCAGACCATAGTGGACTGTCACGTGCAGATTCAGATGCTGAACTGCTTGTACACACACAATCTTAAACACACACACACAGACTCGGAAAAGTGCGTAGATAAGGGTCAGAGCAAGCAGCCTACACAAGCAGTCACACAGAGCTAGGAAACGCTGGAAATAAAGGTTTCCCAGACAAGCTTCCTTCAGCCCTTTCATGCTTCTTGCACAAAACCTGGAAGAGAAGTAGCAAAAAACCCCAAATCAAGCGAGTTTTAAGTGTCAGCATCTATCTTCCTGGAAATCTTTCTCCCAGTTTCTGCACTTCTTACTTCTTCCTATTCTTACTCCATCCCTTTTTGCTAGTAGTTGCTCCTCTTTTGTATGCCTGTACTCCTACTCAACTTATTTTTCTTGCTTTTCTGTCTCAATACCCCCTCGAAAGTTTACTGACATTTAGAGCACGATGCCCTAAATAATTGATGGCTTTCTTAAAGCTCCAGCTGCTGAGGTTATGTACCTGCTTGACAAGTTTCTACTTTTTACCATTTTCATAACATTTAGGAAAAAGCGATTTTTTGTCCTTAATGGCTGCACATAGAAACGCTGCAAATTTGCGGCAAATAAAACTCAAAAGTCTTATAAGAACCTTGTGGATAGCTAAGCTAAGTTGTGATTTTTTTAAACCAACATGAGGACTTCTTTCAAACCCGATTTGGGATTCTTTAGTGATTAGGCTTGGCAACACTATCCATCTTGCTGGCAATGTTACCAGACTCATCATTCTGTCTCCTCCTTACTAACCTGCTGCCTGAGGGAAAGGGTGCTTAAACAGAGACAATTTTCTTATTTGTAGCCTTTCACGACCGCCTCATGGCAGCCCTGAACTGCACTATAGGACTATTTCAGTTTTCTACATGATTTTCTACATTCCAGCCTCCACATGGTCCATGCTCAGAGATTACATAGTCTTTGGAGAATACTGCTAGCAAACCCTACTCATCTATAAAAGAAGAGGCAAAGCGAGACTGGCAGAGTTGTCTTCTCTTGCATGGTTAACAGCAGAGTTCCTCTAGAAGACTGTTCTACAGTTCCATATCAAGAGAGCCCAAACTACTTGTCTGTCCTTAGAAATTACACCATGGTTTTGCTGAAAACCATCAAGGTTTCTCCCTTCCCAAGTCTGCTTGAGATCATTTCAGGTCTCTGCATGAGGCATGGTAAATTGAAGCAAGCTTTAAATTTCAGAAAGTTGCAATTATTGGAAAACGTGAAGTAAGCAATGCATATTAGATAACTATCTGAAAAGTTTAACTTAATTTCAATATGTATATTTTATAAGGAAAAAATATTTTAAAAAGCAAACTGGGATAGAAGCAAACCTCTGTTTTTTCATATATAGACTAAAATGCTTCTATAATTAAATTCCATTAAAATAGTCAGTTGGTTTAACAACAATCTACATTTTAACTATGTTTTCCTACAGCTCAGTACAGCCAAACTTGCAGAACATCACTGTTTATAAAATTGTACTGAAATAATATAACAAGTGTATATATATAAAAAATTAAAACTTTGTAAATTCTTTTAGCTACTTGACTAAAGAATATTCTGCAAACAAAGATAGGCATAGCTGGAAAATGAATTTATCAAGCCTTCTGCAAGCTGCAAATGCTGATACACTTGTCGACAGCTAAAGGCTTCCTTAATCAATTAACAGGAAGTGTTGATAAAAGGTTAGTCTCAGGAAAACACTACAGTAAATTGCAAATCGTACATGGAGAAGTAAAGCCATGCTTAATATGAGAAAATAAGCTCAAAATAAGCAGCAGCAGTGGAATTATTTGATTTCATTTTCTACTTTCAATGCATGCAGCCAGTCCTTCCATTTCTAACACAAATACTTAACTGTAACTCACAGATAATACTCACTGCTACCTAACAGTTTTAGAAACAATTATTCTACATATCAAGCTTAACATCTTCTTAAAATAAAAAGTTATATGCTTTTTAATAAACCTGAGGAATTTAATCACCAGGCAAATAATTTTTGACTGCTTCAAACATCTGTTTAATTTCTAGATTTTTATCAAGCTAAAATGTAATAGAACATTTCCTATTTGCATATAAAAAGGTAGGAGAGTAAAAGCACCTCATATGCCTCAAGAATACAAGTTGGCATCATGCAATTCTATCCAGAAGAGGATGCGAACCTATTTTAAATATAACCAAGGACTCTCTGTTAGTCCCATCTGGTACCAGACTGGATAGATAGGTTATCTCAGGATCTTGAGATGATGCTTCTATGGGGGATTTAATTGCAGCACCACATGAGTTCACTCAATCTGAGTTTTTGAAACTTAATATTGCTCTTCCCTGAAGTTGTTTCTTGGTCTTGCCTTTCCTCCTCAACTCTCTTCCCTTCTTTACAAGCAGCTGTTCCTCCACATTGGGTTCTTCTGCAATGGTGTCCCCCCCTTTCTCAACTGTCATCATCGCCTCTGAGTAAATTTGGGAATAGACAGGGAAGCAGGTATTCAACCATCCATGTAGTAGTTGTTTTTCAGACAACTGGATTAATCTCTTCCAAGCAAAAGGTGGAGGTGAGATAGAACTATGGGCTGTCAGGGACTACATCACTCAAGAGTCCTGCTTCTACTTAAGGCAACCTGTGCTCATATACTAACCAGAAATTTAATCCTGGCCCTGAAAAGTCAATATGAACATATACAACTAAATCACCAGCTATAAAGTTAAGATATCTGTGACTTTTCCAAACTCAATGGATTGTTTTATTTGTCTTTTTTCTGTAGTCAGACTCTCCAGAAGGCCATGGTTCAAACAGTGGGTTGGTAGCAGAGCTACCTGCAGCCACCCCAAAACATCCACTCCTCCTCCCCAGACAGCCAAAGGTGGGAAGGGCAAAGCAAAAGGCTGTAGCTAACAGATAAATTCCTTAGCAACCAGGTCTTCAATCTTCCAAACAAACACTTTTTTGTTTGATTTGCTTTACTTGCACATGCATTTTCCTTTGAACTGCTAGCAGAGCAGCTCAACTTTCTCTATGTGAAGCGTAAACGGCCTTCTTCAGTACTACAGGGAAAGGCATGTTATAATTGCCCTCCAAACCCCCTAAAATCCTCCCTTTCATTTCCAGGCTGAATTATTCTTTCCTATATATCCCTGACGTCCACAGCGATGCCAATATTCTCAAAGTTACTGTGGGTTTACACATCTGCAACCCAGAGTAACATTTCTCTCCCCCGTGGCTCCCATGCAATGCCTTCCCAGTATGTGGCTGAGCTCAATATTCAGATTGGAAACTCTCCCACTGAATGACATACTGCTGAGATAATAGTCCTCAACAGAACACAGGGGTTGCCACTTCCCAATAGCTGAAGATATATTGAAATGATTACTGATAGTGTTATTAAGCCATATTGAGATCACATTACAGAAGGTATGGCCCATGAAGCGATAGGAGACTTTGTTCAACCCCTCTGGTCAGAGCTATAGTGCTTAATATTTTTATAGGATGACATCTGCTTAAAAGTACTTAAAACTTTAGCTAATCTCCTCTATCACTCTGTGAGACAGGTGGAGAATGTTATCTTCCTTAATTTAGTGCTAAAGAAGCTAAGATGAGGAAAAGCCTACAGCTACAGGGGAATATAACAGGAGAAAGAGGATTAAAATTTGAGACCTCCTGCCACCAGCTTCCTGGCTTCTCCTTCCAGACTGCATCACCATTTCTAATCATGCTGTTATTCTAAACCTTACGCACAAACCTGGCTTGAACTACCTCCCACAAGCAGTAGTTTGAAGTATCACAGAAAGAGAAAATAACCATTTATCATCCCACAAAATTATTTACAATAATATATTTTTGATAAACCCCAGTATGTGGCCACTAGAGGATAACAAAGACACACGAAATTAAATTAATTATACTTTCAAATAAAGACAACCTTTAGAGATTTCATTAATTTTCTACATGGAAAGCCTACAGAAATGCTAAATAATAGTACTTTTCTGATAGCAACATTTTGAAGCTTATTTTAGCAGCGCTTATTTAACATTTCCTGATGCTATGAAAGTCAATTTATGCAGGGGAAAAAAACAGCAGTTAGAGACTTGGTTATTCCATTTTCCATTGCAGTGAAGATTTCAATCTTACTTTTTCTGAAAGCATCTTTAAAGAATTCTTCAAGCTGTCTGGAGAATGCTGGCTTGCAGAATTAAGCAGCAGGTCTGCATGGCTTGATATAAGAGGTTGTAGATGATTGATGTTGCTGAGAACTTCTTTTGCCTTGGCTGTGTTTTCAGGTGAATAGTAAATACACTGGTATCCAGTACTGTAAACACAGAGAGAGAGTCACATAATGTCAAAATCATTTCTGCTATTAAGAACAATGCTTAATGTGCTCAAAATCTTACCACTAGGATTGTAAAAAAATGACAGATAACCTGAACTTCACAGATATCACTGAAATGCTCCTTCCTTTCGGGGACAAGCAAATCCTTGCTTGAACAGTAGAGAACAATGGACTGCCCACCACCAAACACTCCAAGTGGTACTGTTCAATCTAATAATTCCTGTGAGTGATTGATCTTAACATACAAAAACCAGATTTTTATTTATTATGTTCTGTAAACATAATTCAGGACAAACCAGGTTTGACCAGGTCAGGTAATAATCACGAAGCGCATAAGGGTCCTTATTTTTCCATCTGAACTCCCCATCACACTATTAACTACCTCACTAAGTCTTTCAAAATGGGTCATTAATGATCAGTGGCCCACACTGTGTTTTGATCAGCGTCAGTGATGTCCAGGAATTGGTGATAACCAGAGTTATTTCTAGTAGAAGCCCCATGTCTAATTTGCAAGGAAAGCCACAGAAATGGGGTGTGGGAGTTAAGTACTACAAAACCACACAAACACATACTGCAGACTTCCTACTTTCCTTGTAACTATTCACGAACTACTGCATTTCTTCTGCATGACTTCCTTTTGAAAACTTATCCCTTGTTTTTTTTTTCTCCCAACACTCACTAATTACGCAATAGCCTTTTACAGCGTTATTAAAAAAAAGCATTTTAGACAGCACGGACACATCTACTAGTTCTTTGCTGTAGTATACCTCTCCTCACCTAAAACTCTTGTACACAGTCCTTCCCTTTATAAAGCCCTGCTTCAGTCTTTCAGAAAAAACTGACTGAAGTCTTTTGCAGTTTCAGATCTACCTGTCACGTTAACACAGGAAAAAAACAGTGCCAGGGTAATGTACATACATACAGAAACAACTGGGGAGTATCTCCCTTCTTTCCTACTGTGTCTTTTCATCATACATCCCTCACTCTCTTCCACCCTTTCCTGACTGATTTAATTTCTTTCTTAATTTCACATATCAACACCTGAATATTGACACTTGTGCAATCCTTTGAACTTCACACACTGCTTTTCATTCCAGACTTTTTCCAGATCTCTTCACTCCCCCATTTCCCCTCTGTGACTTCTAGTGTCCCTTCCAGTTCCTCCTTATTGGTTTTCTACAAAGTAGAAATTAAATTTAATTCAGTAAAGGACATATGTACATTCAGAAGTCCAAATGAAGTAACTCCCATAAAATCTAAAAGGCCTAAGTCTTTTGGCAAATAAGGATAGATTGGAGGATTCTTAAAATTAAGCTTGTTGCTTAAATACTTTGCTGAGTTACAGTCCCAAATTCCACAGTATCCCATCCTGTTTTTCAGCCCTTCACCAATGCCTCAATTTTTAGATACAATTCCTTGTAGAGGCAGTCAGGATGAACCGCATCCAAGTCAGCGAAGCCTTGCCATGATCAGTCATGCTACCAGTCACACCCAGATTACTACACCTCTCCAATTCACCGTCTACTACATGAGTTGCCAGACTGCAGAGGTCAGAATTCTGAATACTTCAACAAAATCAAACTATCCCTCCTAATGAATTGTGCGAAAAAAAAAAAAAAAAAAAACAACCCCCCCAAAAAAATGGGACAAAAAAAAAAAAAAAAAAAAAAAAAATCCTTATCCCTCTGAGAAATGAGGAAACGACCACAGCTCTGCCTTCAAGGTGGCAGCATTGTTAGTGAATGAACTACTATCTATCTCTCCATCCACTGCAACTCTCCAGCTGCCAGACTCAGGAGACACGGCACAGACAAAGAGCAATAGTCTGTGTTAATTGTAGTGAAGACGTAGTCTTGAAGTCTTGATACTACACAGCACTGAATAATCTTCTCTAATTCCCCTTCAGGCTTCTCCCTCCCTTTATCAAACAGCCTTTTTGCAGGCTGGATCTGGCTCGAACATTTATCAAGCTCACCATGCACATACTCCTTCCTAGGATTCCCCTCAGCCTTTAATTCCCAGATTATTTTCACTGATCTCCCACAGCTCTTAGCTTCAAAGAATACTGCAGCAGAAAAGCTACAGACAATGCTACTGGAAAATAAAGAAGGAAGAGAGATACTAAACCCGTGGGTAGTTCTCATTCTAATAAAGTCAATCACAGCTTTTCAATAAATGAAATAGTGAAAAGAGAATGACTCTTTCTTCAGAATGTGCTGTTCTTATTATTTGGCTAATTTTAACATTTCCTGAACCCAAGAAACCATGAGATGACTCCAAATACTCAATTTCTTTCAGAAATTGAGGGCAACTTCTGCCCTTCCCCCAAGAAGGCGAGTAATTCCTTTTCAGAAATAACATTTAGGAGTATCTGAAGTATCTAATTGTTGTGTCTCACTGGTGCCGCATTTAAGACTAGCCAGAGGTTTTCTGTGGCCTTACCATTCATGGAAAGACATTACTGACAATTCACTGAAATTAGTTTCCTTACAAATAACTATTTTTAGGGCTTGCTGCCACATACAGCTACGGTACATAAATAATATTAATTAAAAGCAGCAGCTGCCCGTAGAACATATAGAGGAACATTTTATAGGTGTCCTAATGCAGAAACTAGATGAAGGGAATTACAAGTAAGAAGAAACTTTTGCATTAGGGCAAAGGCCACACTGGCAGGTGCAGCGCGAGAGATCAGCAGCACTGAAAAATCTACCTTTGATATGTAAAATATACTATTAGTTACGTACCTTTTGAAAAAGTCTATCACAATGTCTTCTGGGTTAAGTTTCAAAGCTGTCACTACGCGTATGAAATCACACTTAATCACTTCCATATATTGGCACTATCATTAACTATGACCACTGGCAGATGTGTGTACATTTCAGTTTCAAAATTGCTTTAATTGCATTGTCATGTAATTTGAATAAAGATTACATTGACTCTAGCTCTAATTTTAACAAAGTTTTTGCCTGAGAATAAATATGCAGTATGCTAAAAAGTCTAATTTTTAATGACACTCAGAGTAACTCCACTCCTGCTGTTAACCGAGGCATTTGTGTGACTGAGTTAAATTGTCACCATCTGGGACTGGGTTAAAATCTTTCAACAATGAACATTTGACCTCACATTTTTCACGGTCAAAACCACAGACATTAACATCAAGAATACAGTTAAAGCATACACAGCAAGAACATCTACCCCTAGATAACCTCAAGCTTATGTGTGTTACTGAAGATGCCAATTCAGTGGCCTATTTATGCATCACATGTATTCTGTCTAAAGTGGGAAGTTATGATAAATTGATTACATTAAAAACCTGAGGATAATTCACTGCCTCAGGAAATGAAACTAAACCATATGATCAGTGCTTAGGTTTTGAAAACAGTCCTGAGAGAAATCAAAGTTCAAATGAATTTTTTAAAATTTCATTAAGATTCCCTTGCAAGCTTGGAAATTCTAACTTTGAAAACTGAGGAAAATGAAATTATGTTATTAGTTCTGTCTAATCTATCTTTACTTACCAAGTCCAAATCTCCATGAAACCTTACTGTGAAGCAATGGCTAAGGCTGTATGCATAGAGCTCCTCTTGCTGCTCTTCTGTTTCCTCCTCATTCCTAACTGACTCTTGGAATAACTCTGCATCAATGCCTTCAACTGGTAATGGGGCATGAGCTCCAGTGAAAGGCAAGATGCCCTTCATCAGCCCTCTAGAGACTTAAGTAGGACAGATGCCACAGTGGCATCGGTGAATCTCAGTGAATCTTCCTACAACTCGCTCCAGGAAGCTTAAATACCTAGGGAAAGCCTTCCACAGTTCGTTACGTTAATTTCAGAATATCTTTACATTGGTGGACAAGTAACCTTTCACATAGGGGAGAATCTCGTGCCGGTTAACTGAGCATGGCTCTTATCAGAAGAAAAAAGGTATTGTGCCTCACCACAGGCCTGAGGCTAAATGGTGCCTTTCAGGGAAGTATTTTCCTGGCAGCTTGTGGAAGTGCACTGTACAAGAAAAGGATGGCAAAGTCGTGGATCCACTCTCCTCCTTCACATGCGGTGAAATGGTTTCTTGCTCTCCAAAAACGTCTGGTCCTTTCTAACCTTTACATGTAAAGCTCCTCCAACTCCTTTTCCCCTTCTTTTTTCCAGCCCCAGTTCCCTTTCTTTCATGCCTGCTTAAGCAAATGCTTCAGACAATTTTGCCCAGAGAGCCTAACAGCTGGAAAATACTGTGATGAGAATTGTATATCTCAGTGAATAGCACAAACTTTGGCCATTTCTCAGCAAAACTTCCAGCAACCTTAATACACTGATTTTATTCTTGTAAGTGAAAAAATGTTCATATCCATAGGGTCTAAGCTCTCTCTCTCACACCCACACAGTTACAAGCATACATGCAAAAAAGGGTAAGTGAGCAAAGAACAATGTCTCTGTGACAAATGCTATGAGTGACAGGTTGTGATCTCCGCTTGAGAATAACGGTTACAATTAGATCAAACACTAACCATTATTATTTCAACACCTCAGGGATTTTTTGTGAAACAGTACCATTTCTGGTTCCTCTGAGAATGGAAATGGGTTGAAAGTTATGTAACTCAGGTAACAGGAAGCCTGAAGACTTCAGCGTTAATAAAACCACTGGTATGTTAGTGAAGGAGCACACCGCACACCTTGACCAAAAAATCTAGGCTTCCTGAAGCAAAAAATGGTCCTTTTAGACAATTCAAATCTGAATCAAATTATTATGTGTTAAAAAAAAAATCAACAGGAAAACCTTTTCGGTGCTATTTCAGTTTTAACCTTGTGTTAAAGCAGGATCATTTCTAAATAACTTGTTAGAGGTAGCGTACAATACCACAGGGAATCATGGCACCTAATGCAGCTTGTGGGACACCTCTGTTTTTCTTGACAGTTAGTACTAGTGCATTAAAAATCTTGTCATCATTGTCTGTGTGTTTTGGCTAAAGCACAGATCATCAAATTAGAAAAAAAGTCCTTGGTGTACCTTGAAAGTGATTTATGAGCATTTCAAGCAATGAGGCGTCATATGGGTATAACTTACAGAATGTCTGCCTTAAACATTCCTGCATAACTGAGCTCCAAAAATAATAATTTACTGTGCCATCTAGACTGATGAGCAGACAAGACCTTCTTTTGCTGGAAGGGGGAGTAATCTATGCTAGCAGGCCAACAGAAGACTGAATCAGAACAACTGATTTACTTTCTCTTTTAGCTAGAAATAAGGAAGAAAAAAAAATAAAAAGAACAAACCACTACAGCATCATGACAAAAAATTCTAAAATAAATATATAACATGCATAGATAATGAATATTCTCCAATGATTTAGCATACCTTAACCATCACACTTCAATTATTTCAATTTAAAGGCTATCACGCCTAAATAAGATTTTAAAAAGCATCCATTGTTACTACTCTTACGAAGTTCACTAGCAGCTACTAAAGGGACAGACATCCTAGAGTCACGCCTTATAGGCATGCCTGATGCTTGTAGTGGTAAAGCCTTTCATCTGTCTCTGGTGCAGATAAAGAGCAGTACAGATTGTGACAAGTTATAACGCATGGGACCTGTCTTCAGATCATACACCACTAAGTCTTGTTTTTCACCTGAAAGAAATACTTTTTTCCCTTTTATTTGAGACCATATTTTTAGACATTTACCTTTTTTAAAATTTTAATATGACTAGCTTGGTGGTAACAAATAAGAGAATAATAGCAAAAATACTGCATTTTTTATAAATACAACATCTTCCCCTCTTTTGGCTGCAGAAAAAAATATATTCTCTGTAATAGAAAACATGCCAGACCTATATTCAGATACACATTTTCTACATTCTTCTGTTTGATAAAATACTATGAAACTTATGTTTCACTCTTGTTTTGGTTACGCTTTTGCGAAGTGGGATATAACCTTGTTACCAGTTAACAGTTCCTCTTGTCGGTTAATTCCACAAGAATAGGTTTTGGCAAGGAATATTTTATAACATGCTGACACCGCTGAATATTTCAATAAACTGTTCTAATAATCAGTGTGAAGGTCAAAGGCATGCAAAGCATTCTGTCATGTGCACTAACAATGCTGTCTTGAAAGCTATGTGGATTGGCTTGAGAAATAATCTCTTCCCACATGTTTCTCTAAGTCTTCAGCTCAGTTAGCCTAAAGGAAACAGCTGCTAAATCTGCTTTTTTTTCCTGTTCATTTTATATTCTGACTGATATCTCAAAGTGTCATTTCTTCCTTCAACCAAACCTTCAGAAAAGCTGCTCCCATTGTAAAGCAGAAAATTTAAATTGTAAAAGATGCTCCTGGAAATGCTCTGTGTCCTCAAAGCATCCTCATGCAGTTAAACAAACACGTGCATATAAAATAAAGTTGTCATTGCCACAGTGAAAGAAATTTCTGTGGTAAGAATGAGAATGGTCCTTTCATGTGTCTATTTAAAGTAGCCCCACTCTTGAATATTCAAATAAGTAAGATCATATTCAGAGCTTGCTTTCTCCTGTCTTTTGACTCACCCAAGTTTTTTCCAGTTGAAGGCAAAAAAAAAAAAAAAAAAAAAAAAAAGTGGAGTTTTCTCTGCGCTGCCCTCAAAGACAGAAGGCAAGACAAATTTTAGAGGTTTTCTCCTTTCTACTTCAGGGAATTCATACAGTAAGTGACCACTTCTTCGGGTCTGGTGACTTGCTGAGAATGGCAATCCTCTGTTTTCAGCGCTCAAACACAAGTTTGTGAGCCTGACTCAGGCTCTTTCGTTCATGAAGAGCCTGACAGGATAGTAACATAGTTACCCTAGTTATATCATCCTAAAAGCAGGCTTTTTCTCTTCCAGGGCAAAAAAAAAACCAAAAACACACAAAGAAACCTCCTCTGTCACTGTAAAGGTGCCGTATCCTGTCCTTGAAAGTCACCAAAATACAGGTGCTTCTGAGGGATGCAGGAGAGTCTAAGCAGCAAGGCAAATACAAGGGGATGTGTAGGCACTTTGAAATAGGTATGGAAAGCCTTGATAAAACCTGCACAAAGCTTTACCCAGTGCTCCTGAACACAATCATCTATCAACTTAGAGGTCTGCATGGTTTAAGTCAGGGAAATACAGATGAAAGAAAATGAGAAGAGGCTGTGCTGCACTGGGTGCCCTTTGTCACCCTAGCCTTTTGACACATAACGCTGCCCAGGAGCCAAAGAAAGGCGGACTAGCCCTTCGTCTTCTCCTCTCCCCTGCTGTGGGCAACTAAGAAAGAAGGGCACTGGCGATTCACTACTTTGAGATACTGCAATCTGTATTCTCCCGGGAAGAATTCATGAAAGACTGGGTCTCTTCCCTGTAAGGCATTTTCTCTTTTTTCTCCAATGCACAGATATCACAGATAATAATTTCAAATCTGCCTCACCCCTACCCTCCATTTTGGGAAACCACATTCTGCCAACGTGGATATGGCTGCAGGACTGTGCATTGAATACAATGGAATTAATTTTCCATGGAGAATCGTGATGATTTAGATTAGCATACACACAGTACTTTTCAAACGCTATGTGCCACTGACTGCAAGGTGGTTGGCACAGCCCAAGTGTTGAGCAGTCACAACTCTGGGTGCTGCCAGCGACAGCTGTGGCTGCTCAAAACTTCTGAACAGCCATAGTGACAAACACAAATACATCCAATTCTTAGTTTGCAAAATATGCAGCTAACACTTCTGTACCTGTTCTATGGTTAACAGAGCACTGGAGTACAGCAATAAACTGAAACCCTAGTTAAGCCCTTTATCTTTGCTTAGTCTCATTTTGGCTTCCTGAAAAAAAAAAAAAAAAGAAAAGAAAAATAATATTTTATTTACTTCACAGGTGTGATAAAAAGATTTTTTTGTTCAAATACGCCCAGGGCTGTCAGAAATGAAGATGATACCTTAAGCTACTGTTCCTTTATTGAAAAATTGCGTATAGCTACTTTCCACTAGCACAAAAATTACTGACAAGACATCTCATTCTCAACAGCATGTTTTCAAGTACTGATATTCCTCAAGCTTCCTGAAACATGGGAAGAAAACTTCACAATTTTGACTTTGTGTTCAAAGTAAGTCTTGACACTAAAAGTAAACTGTGCTGCAATTTTGCAGTCCAACGAAGCAGGGAAGATAAAGGAAGTATTTTATGAATGAATCCTTGTCTAGTCCTAGTAGATTTTAATCTTCCACACATTCAGCAGGGTAAAATGTTTTGTTACTCAGTGAGCTCATAACATATTAATGCAACCTCAATTATACTTTCCTAGCTACTCACAAAATTACTTACTTTCGTCTTTCTGCCTCAAATTTACTCAGCAGTTTTCGAAGACCACCATTCTTAAATCCTTGGAAATGGGCTGCCGGGGCTCCCACGGTGATGACGTCATACAGAGCATCTGGAACAGGAACAGACAGGTACAGAGATTTGCACACACCCATGGCCAAGGTATGGCAACACTATGATATCTACCCTACAAGACATGAGGATGACAAGTCTATATTATTTCCAAGGATTAATTGATAATCGGTGTCTCAGGAAGGCCCAAGAGCTAATCAATCTTTCCACACAGCCACCTGCACACCTTAAAAAGTTTACCTGATTTATTGCTACATCTCAATTATATGCCACAGCGTAGAACAATATTCTAGCTCTGCAGTTTACAAAATTGGCCTTTTGTGTATTTCACTTTACTACCCCTACCATTATTTAACTTGTAGTCGTGTTGAGATGCACAGATTCATGCATTTTAGAGTCAAAAGAGACCATTATGATGGAATAGGCTGACTGCCTGAATAATACAGGCTACAGAATTACACCTAATGATTCCTGATCTTCTGGTTGGGTGAAGGCAGCTTTTTTTTTAAAAATCTATCTAATCTTGATTTAAATTTTTCAAGTGATGATTAAATCACTGCATTCCCAGAGAAGTTGCTCCAATGATTAATCAACCTGACTAGTAAAAATCTCCATTTCTTTTCTAGTTTGAATTTGTTTAGCTTCCACCTCCAGATATAATTACCTGTTTAATGCTAAACTGAAGACCTCTGTTCTATGACACATACTTCCTTTTTATATATGCTTATAAATACAGAGCAAGTCAGTTATTTTTGACTGAAAAGCTACCAGAACGGGAAATAAACTATACTATTGAAATTCTTGCTGAGACAACAAACTGTTGTTACTCTCTGCATGTACCTGATATCTTGTGACATACATGATGAACTTTTTCTATAGATGTATGCTTACAGAACTGGAGATGGAACACATTTTCAAAAATAGCCTCTCATTATGTGCTTGTGATTGATTGTCAGTGAACAGATGAAGATTTAATTACATCCCAAACCACAGTAATTATTCCTTCCAAGTTTAAATTTACATTTGCAGAATTTAAGTTTACATTAAGCAGTACCTGTCTTGTGCCCAAGCTCACTGGAGGTATAAAAACACAGTTAAGAATGCATCATTCTTACAATGTATTTCTAATGGAGAATTTTTGAGAATTATTTTATTCATCAAGGAAGCCTTCCATATAAATTAAAATCTAATCCTCTCCTAAAATAGAGCTTTTCTTGCATTCTGATGATAAATATCCCTAGAAGCAAGAACACTGTACAAATGATTCACAGTTAATGAACTAGGTTTTACATCCAGAGCTGAATCTCAAACCATATTCACTCAAACTGATTTGAACTCTAATGAGTTGGTGACTCTTCAATTTCCACTTAAAAGGAGAAGTGACATAATTTCATTAGCCTCAGGTGAGCTTCAAGATTCTTAAATAGCCCATTCCTTCAGGTCTTCATGGAGATTTATCCATAATGCATAATCTTGGGCTATTAGAGCTCCCTCGGTACTTGACAATAAGTAGTTCTATTGCTTAAAACAAGGGTGGCTTGAAACCAAAAAAAGAGATGAACCCCTCAGGTTAACTGAGTAATGGCTTCTGAATATGTTTACAGATAGCTCATGAAACTACAGGAAAACATTTACAAACCCTGGTGCTTTTTCTGACTCTGTTTTAAAAATAAATAGTGACTCTGCTTAGAGCTCCTTTGGGGCGATTTACCCAGAAGGAAGCTTTCATGCAGCCTCTGGCCTCTCAGCATGGCCAAGAAACAGCTGTTTGAGACACAAACACCCAAAACAGCTGAGCGCCCACCCCATGAGAGTGAACACGGGAGCGTGAGGATGGCAAAGGAGGAGATGTCTACAACCCTGGTGATGGGCACGGAGCAGTCTCACTCCCACTTTCCAGAGCACAGTACACTGGAAAGTGCTGCAAGACATGGGAGAAATGCCTCGTGATGTGCTACATTTACACACCAATGCAGCTCCTTGCGAAGGACACGCAGTGTCAGCATGAGTGCACTGGCACAGGGATGCTCCAGTAACTGGGAACCACCATCCACTTCAAGAGCAGACTACTGCTGAAAACTCTCTACACTGGAGAAAAAGCTTAAAATGCAGCAGGGCTGTAGGAGCTGTATCATTTTGCCAGCGTGCTCCCCCAAATTATTAATAAATACCAAACCCACAACCCTTCCTCAAATAATTGCTTCAGAACTTGGAGGAAGAAAATGCAGAAGATCAGAGTTGAAAACTGAGCTATAAAGAAACCATCACTTCATACTAATTATTCTGACTCAAAGATGCACTCACCTCCTGCTTATACAAGGGAAACACTAACACCAGTTGCACACTTGCCAGAAAACAATTCCTTCACTATGCAGAAATATAAATTACCAGCTCATCACTCCTTCCCAAATAAAGCACAGATCTTTTGCAACATGCTGACAACCACAGCAACACAGTAGAAGTTCCATAAAGCTAAGCTTTATCAGACCAATTAAAGAGCTGAGGGATGTTTATGTCAAGCACAGTTCAATCTAGAATTTCAAGCAACCTGCTCACTTCAGAGGAGGCAGTCACTGTCTCACACTGGCCAGATGCAAAATGAAAATCTCTGAGTCCATCAAACTTATTTACAACTAGCACACAATGTGTAAACATGGACATAAGCAAACCTAGGGCAATATATAAATTTAACTTTTGTAGTATGATGAACAGACCAAAAGTGCTGTTTATCAAATGAATAGGGGCACAGTCACCCCATATGAAATAGTATGTTTCTCAAAGTTGTTCCTACTAGAAGTTTAAACACCCAGGTATTTTCTATTCTATGGCAGTACTCAACAACAACCTGAATCAAAGCTCAGTAAAAGTCAACCTGTTACGGAACACGCTGAACAAAAAAGCACATATTCATGTGCCTACATATGATAGATGGGATTAAAACCTAGCTTGCACTCCCAAAAATGAAGATATCTGGCAGCGTAAGGGTTAATGACAGCTTTATGGCTCATCAGCTTGTTTAATCACCACCTCTGTGAATGCTTACATGGTTTGGTTTTTTTCTCTTTTTTTTTTTTTTTTTCCTGTCAGTCTCCTAGTTGTATTCCAGGTGCCCTTTGATATATGCCAAACAAAGCACCAGATGAGAAACACCAACTTGCTGTGAGTGCTGCTTACTCCAGAATGATTAGCAATTGCTACAAACTGTTCAAAGTATATCTAAGACAAGACACAGCTCTTCAGTGCTCATAAAATGAAACTCACTTCAGTAAACTCAACAGATAGGACAGTGGCTACATAATGGATACAGAAATCATTTATCCAGCCAAAGGCAAATATAAGAATAATCTTCAATTACTTTTTGTTATATTTATACTATACTGCTACCAAAATATCCTAAACATATTCAGGAACCCATTTTGTATACAGAGAAATAAAAAGACCTGCCCATAACTAAAGTATCAGACTTCCAAAAATCTGTGTAGCCAGAAACTCCCTGATTCGGAAAACACAAGTCCCTTTCTTTATTAACATGCTGAAATCTCTAAACTTGACTGCAACATGAACAGTGTTATCTAATTCTCATGTCAGTGGAATGAACATTAGCTATAACTAAGAAAAAAGGGAGAGCTTTCAAGTCCTAAATTTAGAAGAGGATTCTACCATTTATCTCTTTCCGTACCCTTTTGAATTATGGATTAACACATGCGACAAGAAAACTGGTTTGGGGGGAGAAAGGATAAAATTAATCAAAACCAAAAAAAACCTCAAGTAGTGCAAAACCTATGGGTGATGAAGAAGCATACTTGATTCCACTTTTTTATTTAGCAAACAAACATAAAACACCCTGTTCCCAGAGAGGCTTTCTTGACAGACATAAAATTAAGGTTCTGTCCAACTGCAGTCATTACAAATCTAAAAATGCTTTTAAGTTAACTAACTTCAAATTATTAGCTAAATTAAAATTTGTGCTGTCATATTGTGTCACTATAAACCCTCATCTTGTTAAAATATTTGGAGGCACTGTTGCTTAGTAAAAAAAAAACAAAAAACAAAAAAACCCAACGAAATATTGAACTAATACATGATCTACCAATCAGAAGCCCTCCTGTTCCAACTCGGAAGTGGGTGAACATCAGCAATACACAGTATAACACTCCTATAATTATTGTTTATACTTAGGGTTTTACAGTCTGCTTAGATGTAGAGTATATAAGGCAAAAAACCTTACAGAGTGTAATTTCCATGTGTCTACAGTGACAGCAAATTTAATACATGTCAATTTAGTCACTGTACTATGATTTGCTTATACGTATGTATCGATATCATTTTCTATCTGCAAAGGATGCTGCTAAAACTATGCGCACGCAGCAGCATCAGAATTCTGTATGAAACAGAAACATTACAGAAAATGATCCCCCTTTCCAGAAGGAATTGGAAGTTCGCAGTATTTTCAGTACAATCAGTGAGATATTTGCGCTTAATGCTGAGCAAATGCTTACGTGGCACAGCAGCACCGAACACGCTGATTCAGGCACAAGCTGCGCTGGGCTCACTGAGGCTTCCTAACAAATAGGATCTATTAAGTTTAGAAGTAGCACTGTGCTTAATGGATCTGTGCTACTCGCATCACCTAGGCTGGTGAGTTCATCCCAGCAGTCTCTGGAAGGAAATCTATTGTGCTCTGTATCTCTATCTCTGGTGCCACAGTGGGGAAAAAAACCACCCTAGAAACAAGACAGGTAAGACTGGCTTTTATACTACACTGACATTATGGATCACAATGAAAAATTAAGCTGATGGCCTAAAAGCATGTGAATCTTACTGAACATTGTGCAGTGTGTCGGTATGAACCATGACACTATTAGTTCTGCAATGCTACAACAGAATATTTTTAACCATGCATAGATTATCAGTGCATTTCAGTGAACACAGTCTTCATTACCTATTTGTTTGAACTGTCATAGAAACAAAATGAGCATGATATCCCTGGAAATTATTTCTAAAAAGAATTTAAAAGAAATTTAGTTAACCACTCCTTAGTTTTCCAAGATTTACATCTTAAAAAGGGCTAAAATGGAAGCCACGCCTCTTAGTTTCAAGTTTGAATGTATTTCAAAGCATACTTTGTCATACTTAGGGAGATTCTTTGCAGAATATACTGTACCTTTCAATCGAGGACTATGCACGTGCATTCTTTGCAGATGGAGATTTATTGGGATGAATTCTAAAGTTTTTTCTCCTTTACTACAGCTTGATTTGAAGGAAGAACCTGAAAAACAAAAGTTTAAAGAATCATTATCTTAAGCACCCAGCAGATGTTTTGTCTTCTTTTTAATGTGAGGACAATACTTGTATGTTAGCAGCTTTCTTTAATTTACTTTTAATGCGTGATTGTATATTAGGAGAAGAATGGTTCACTAACTGAGTCTCAGCATGTATCCATATTGCAAGCAACAAAACAGCTTTTAATTCACAGAACAATCTAATTTTTTATTCTAGGTGATAGACATTTTTTCCTTCTCTCTGAAATTGGTCTGTTGGAAACAATGCCACAGTTAATGTGCATTATGTTTATTCTGGGCTAAAACCACAGGGGTACAGAGCTATGACGGTACTACTTTTTCACCAAGTAACCTTTTTCTTTTTTCCTTAGAAAAGTATTACATTGACTAGGCTATACATTCTTCTTAGAAAGTTCAAATAAAGATAAACTAGATTAAGAAGAGCTATAAATTAGTTTTCCGTCTAAAAAGCCAGAATCCCAAGAAGTGCAACACTTTGTGAAAAAAAAAAAAATCATCTGGTTGCATACTTCAAAACGATGACATTATGAGTAACTCTATGGTGGTATAAAGGAATATAATTAAAGCCCAACAATATGAAAATGTAGTTTACCTGGAGATACTTGATACAGCATATATATAAATAAAGAGTCTAGATTAGGAGAGAGGTGGTCCTACCTTCTCACTCAGACAGCCCAATGTTTACTTAGACCACTTTTTCAGCACCCTATCATTCTGCCAACTATTAATCATTTGGAGTAAAAATCCTCTGATTCAAACAGGACTTAAAAGGAATAAAAATATCTTTGGAAAGGTTCAACCTTTTCTTGCAAAGAAAGGTAAAAGAAATATTTGCAATTCTTCTTTTTGACTTGCTCAGTCAAGATTTGCTGGAGGTTATCTGTTGAAACTGCCATGGATTCCAGCACAACTAAGCATTGCAAACCCAATGCAAACCACATTGCCAGAGGGCACCAATGACGCTCCAGACCAGCCAAGCCAGCTCAGGCTGCTACCTCAGCTTTGTAACTTAAAATGATCATTTGACAGAGATTAAGAGCAAAGGCAGCAAGAGAAGCAATTGACAGGAGTCAAAGATCCACATTTGATAGGAAGTCTGGGGATGCAGGCTGAAACCAGGAGTCACCAATGATGAGGAATAGCAGTGGGAAACCTGCACCTGGGAAGCGCAGAAAGACAGTATTATGGGAGCAATGAAGGGACCTCAAACTGTATCACAAAACAAGTCATAATAGTGCAGGTGAGGAGACTATAAATAATTATGAAAGAAACAGAAAGGGGGCAGATCATTTATGAGAATTTATCTGAGACCAATATCAAAGGTTAAGGAATAACTGGATCTGAGACAAGGAAACACTGGTAGAGGAGGATAAGATGAGAGCAGATGACATGGGCCAGGCAAGAGAAGAGTAGGAGGCAGAAGAGGAGAAGAGCCTGCCCTCCCTGCAGTACACTTCTGTCCTGAGCTGGAGTAAAACAGATGCAGCATTGCCAAGTCTTGCTATTCCTCTTTTCAGGAAAGACCCATGAAGCAAGAATCCCTTCCCCACCAGTGCCAGAAACATATGGGATAACAACCACCCACTGCTATCAGTTACTCTGCTTACTCAAGTAGGAAAGATCCATACAGTGGATCTAATATTGGCAAACGTACATTGAGATACCATTTCTATGATAAAACTGATGTTATAGTATAGTTTTGCAGTGTTTTGTGGTTTAGTTTTTAATAATTGGGTAAGTTGTATTTAAGGACCAAGAAATTTACATTCCCTTTATTAAAACAGTTGTTGCAAGATTCAACTCTACCAAGCTAGGAAATATCAGAATACAGATGAAACCTTCATCTGGCATCCACCTGAAGAGGAACTGTGAAATAGACCTCAATGATGTATCACATGCTAGCATTTCCCAGCTCATTGAATGTTTAGGGCCTTTGCGGCTCACTTCAGAAGCAGTGATTCAATATTTTGTTTCCAACTTCTACTTTTGTATCTGGATTCAAATATATTGCTCAAGCCTCCCACAAAAAATGGATTATTAATTTCCCCAAACCTGCCTACTGCATGCATCACTACAGTTTCTAAGGGCTTTACAAATATTTATAGAATAATGTTAACTAGCTGAGTAAAAGAGTTCTAATTTTATCCATTCTAAGGGCAGAGAATGACTTAAGGTCAAAGCCTTTAAGAAACAATGCATCAGTATGAGATATGGAGGATCTCGGTCTGCAGAGCACGCATTAGAGTGCAACATCACCTTCCATTTCGGAAGCACAGCTCCAACTGAGCTGAATTACCTCCAGAAGTAGAGCACTTCTGCAGAACTGCTTCCATCTGTTGCCAGGCTTCCAAAAAGGAACACCACACACTAACCACTTTTGAAGTCTGGCTTGCCTAGTGTCACACAGGAACTTGGTGACAGGCAGGGAGAGTGTCCAATTCTCCAGAGCAATATTTAGCTTTAACCTTGACTGTCTTTTCTTCTCCGTCTAGAGCTGGATGGATAATAGAATTTTCAGTTTGATGACTGAAATGGAAAAAAAAATAAAATCAAGGGGGCAAGGAAAAATCATTCCAGGTTAAACTGAAACAAATAAAAAAGGTTTCAAAGTTCTAAACCCTCCCAAAAGCACCAAATCTGTGTTTTAGAGGAACCTGAAAAGATTTGTTTTGATGTTACCTAACTCTTCTAGATTCCTGTTATTATATTTCCTTGAAAGAGAAATACTTGGCATCTCTAGAATTATGTCATATTTTTGCAGACAAAATTGTTTGCCAAAACAATGCAAATTTGAAATATTCTTAACTTCCTTAAACTTCCATTTTCAGTAAATATGCTGCTAAATCAAAATTGCTGTCTAACACTAATGCAGTCTCCCGTCACTTTCACTGCAGTCTCTCAAATTAGAAACAAATTAAGTGGTCTACCAACAACAGCCATCTCCATTAAATTCCACAAATAGCTCAGTTGAGCATGAAGCAGTATCTCTCAGAAAACCTAACATGCAAGTCTGTAGGAGGAATGTGTGAATATTTTGGAAGAATTTTATTTGCAGATGCTACATCCCCTTCTGTACATGGCTTATGAGTGAACAGCGTCTTCCCTAACACTGATACAACAGGAGACTGGAGATATTTGCACCTAGATGACTGACATGGAGTTGGTACTTCACAATTGTTTGTAACAAGGTAAAAAGCCCCTTGTTAAAGGAAAGCAATTGTTCAGTGAGTAACAAAGCAAAAAATGCTAAACACATTAACATTAACCCTGCTTTTGATGGACCAAGTTGGGAGAAGAGGGTCAATGAGTTGGTGTTTCCACATATTGTACTCACATCTCTAATCTTAGCATTTTTCCAGCCTGTACAATGTTCTCTCAACATGATTTTTCGTGCAAATACAGTATGAAGTAAAATTTGTGTTTGTCTTGCTTTCTTATCAAATACTATAATCTTATTTTTTAAAGTTATCATGTGTACCATTTACCGAGAAGAACTATTCTGAATGGGAATGGAAGAGGAACCAGGACCTCTTAAAACATGCAATGAATTCTCTCCACATCCATCCTATTCCTGTAGAAAAAAGTAGGGACAAGCTTCTGAAAACTGTACCCAGGGAGATTAAACTCTTTTTCAGAGAGAATTGCAATTACTTGCTGCAAATTATCTAGGAATCGAAAAAATCAGGTTAAAGGGAAGTAATGGACAGCCAAAGCATCTAAGAGTCTGTTCTGGATTTTGTTTGTTGTTGGGCAGACAAATCTTATATCGCCTACAGGATCAAAATGCAGATTCACGGTTTTAGTCTGGCTCTAAATAGGTATACATAATACACCCCCCTTTATATTTATAATTTTTAAAATGTTAGACCTCTATGAAACAACTTGAAAGGAACACTCACTACCCAGAAGATTTATCACCTCATTTATTTTGTGATTTCATAAGAACAAAAATATTATAATTCAGGATTAAAAGTAAATATTGTCTTCATTAGAAGGACTGTGCTATTATTTGGCTTTACAATGTGCACATATCCCACTAATCAGAATAAAATGAGTTTTTGAATCTTAAAGTAACTTTTTACACAAGATCCAAAATCAGGGTTTTTCCAAGTATAAACAAGTAATTTACCAGCAGCGTGTTAGTAAGGGGAAAAAAAGAGTTGTTGAAGAAATGAGATTTAGGTATGTACCTGAATGTTGGCCTCCAAATTAACACCGCCTCATTATTTCTCATCTTCAATTATTAACTTGCTTTAGTTTTCTGCCTTGTTTCACTTTTGGAGAAATGTTCCTGCTCATTTTGTGTATGTGCTTGTTCTGTCCTCTTCAAAAACCTCAGGTTCCCTGGTCCACTGCAGTTCCCTCAAACCACAGTTCAGACAGGCCATTTAACATCACCGACCCTTCTCAAATTCACTTGGCACAAAACAGGCCTTGCAGGATTTATGCATAAGAGATCACACTATTTTTTTCTTTATCTCAAAAGGTCATTTCAATATTTTCCTGCAAGTGGTAATTATTACATTGATTCCTTCATGATCTGTATTTATTGCCTTGCATATGATACTTTATGGAGTGCTTTCAAAATGTAATTAGCAAAGCATTAAAAAACCACAGGAAGTGTCACACTAGATGAGGCAGTAGGCTGCCAAAATCAGAACTGGAATGTTCTGATGACGATAAACAATCACAAATACAAGAAATTACACTTTGCAACCAAAATGCAAATTATTACGCAACATTTAGTTTAACACATGAGCTTTTCCCCCCACATATTTAAGTAGGTGATCAACTGCTCCCAGAGTGCTTAGTTTCAGTTCAAGACTGCTTTTTGTTCACAGACTGAAACAGGATCTCTCTTTTCCTGTGACCAAGAAGGCTATCCCAGAGCAATGTGCAATGAGAAATACCACGCTCAGTCCTGTATTAGAAGATGATATACAAAAGTACAGTCTTAATGCCTAGTTGGGAAGGGAAAGATCTGTGTCTCACCTACTAAATGCAGCAGCTTCATTATCGCAAAAGCAAATGTTCACGATTCTCCATAAGAAATTATTTAGCTGTGAACTGAAACCCAATTGCTCCATTTCTCACTACACATAAAAAAGTTTTCTTTGTTTTTACAGGGCTATGTATAAAGCTAGAAATAATTAAGAAAATACTGCAAATTCTCCTTAAGTATACATATGATATTTCAAAAGATGCTTTCATCATTTATACCTCTGTTTTCACAAATATTCATAACCATAATGTATCCCTTTTCCCAAAAATATTCTAGGTTGCAAAGTTACGTATACGTAACACAATGCACAGTGTTTACCTCTGACAGGCACTGCTACACCTACACACACACAACCGTGGGCAAAAGGCCACAGTGGGAACATCTGAAGTTGAGAATAGAGAGTGAAACAGCATATGCAAGCAATAATAGCAGCACGGTCATGGAAAACATGTATTTGAGACAGTGATTGTGAGGACTGGTGTTAGAAATGTGACACCAGCAATGCCAACAAGGCCTCTGTAGTAATTCAGAACAAATGTGCCTATTTCCTTCCAGAATACCTCAAAACCTGGGAAGGGGGTGGGCAGCAGGAAGAGGCAGAAAGGCACGCTATAAACAGACTAATTTTTGTTTGCTCAAAATACTTTGTTATCCAAGACATTATTTCAGTAGTCTCACAAAATAGAGAAGAATCATTGCAAGTTCCCTGAATGATTTGTGAGTAATCAAAAGAAAAGAAATTCAAAAGAAGAAATAATTAATTCTGCAGTTTTTTCTTGTTATTTTTACGAGTAAGAATTACTACAGGAGGAAAAGACCAGCTGCCTTTTCTGCACATTTGTCACTGATGCTGTCTTATTCAACTGGCATACAGACACTACAACACACTATAGTTCCTGACCACAGAACCCCAGCAGATATTAACTGAAAAAGCAGCCAGTGCACATCAGAATAGAAGACCACCGTCTCCATATGAAGAAAAAAAAAAAAAAAGGCAAGGCAGAACGTACTTCTAGACTGAAGACAGACTGCCCATCCCGTATTAATTCTGCACTTTTCTGGCACAACACGTGCAATGACAACTACTACAAAGCATAGCTACACCTCACTGTTATCCTGTAGACTGTTAAATGTAACTTAATTTAGGTTTCAAGAAAAATTGACAAAACTACCTCTAAGGCCAGTTTCCATTGGCAGACGGAACTGAATACTAGCAGAGCAGCATAGTCAGGGGAACGTGCAACTAAAACACACACACTTTTCCCATTTTTTTTGGCAGCTGTGGAACCACGTACCACGTTAACTGAAAAACTGCTGGAATGCATGAAAAAAAATTGGAAGAGGAAATAAGGCACCTCTGAGTATCTCAAAGATATAATGATTACAAATGCTTCATTTTTATGTGTTTTATATCTGATCAATATGCCACTATTTAAGAACAACCAACCTAGATAATTCTTAACTTCTGCAGAAGAGGAGGGGCTGCTTTCATACCTGTATGCTTTCCAAGCTCCGCAAGAGTATCCTGGTACATGCTCAACATCTGATCACAGTGAGCAATAACACTTTTGCGCATATTGTCCCAGTGAGGAGCAAGTTCTCCCAAGTCTTTAAGTTCCTGATTCCTGTACCAGCAAGCAAAAAGAGAAGGAACTAATTAACTCATTAATCTATTAATATTCATTTCCAAATTAATCCAATTAATCTAAAACCAGTCTGTTAAAAAACACCAAAAGCGCTTCCTAATAGAAATAAAATCATTACCTTGGGTCTGCTTATTACCCTTGTAAAATCTGCTGATTTCAGCTCTGTTTGTCAGCCACACAATAAAGAACGTCAAATCAGTGACTAATAGAGTAATTTGTGTTCAAAATTTATCTGGTACAAATGCAATGGCCTGCAAACAGAAATATTATTTCTTCCCTGGAGGTAAAAAAGCTTCCATGCTCCAGAGAGCTGTGTTCACTGCAATTAACTTTTTGTGAAGAAGCATTAAACACCGTTGTAAAGAACACAAAGTTTGCTCCTTTTCCAATGCTTCCAGTATGGCTGTTTTGGTACATTCTATTCTTTGGATACTTTCATACACATCAGAAACACAATTCACACGGCAGCCCTCCCATTTCTTTAGTGTTAAAAACAAAACACACCAACGAAAAAACCCCACTGGTCCCCTAAAACGTAATCTTCAGTCTTACAGCTGTGTTCATCAGGTCAAAACAGCAGTGTTATGGTAACCAAACATGTCACTGAAAATCCAAAAGGAAATCCTTTAGCAAATTATCAGTTTTCCTGTACACTCTTGAGAGCTGACCTGCGTGAAATAGAGATCACTTTAATTTCCTACACAAACAACCCTAGTTACAGTACACTGCGCTTTCTGTTTGTTTTCCCCACTTCCAAAGTAAGTTTATCCTACATCTCTCCCAGAGCCACTCAGGGGAGCTGCTTTTAAAGAAACTGAAAATGAAAGATCTTGAGTCTTCAAACAATTGGAATTGTTTGAGAGAAAACTTTTGCAACACAATCAGCTAGTTTTCCTAATTTTTCTGAAAGTACCAAGCAAACTGTTTCACTGCAATTCTTGCAAGTCTCAAAAAAGACGTCCAGAGGACAGCTCTCGCATGCAGAAAAATTACTGAAGTAAAAGGAAAAACAGGGGGAGAGGGCGCAGAGAGGAGGAGAAAAAAGAACAAGGCTGCAGCACAGGAACAAACATAGCTGCACTTACAGCAACAGGTCCAACCACTAGTCAAGAATCTTGAAACTATTTCCGAAACAGAAGAGCCCCACAGTGATACACTGATGCCTTCCCCATCATTATCAGCTTTGCATTAGAAAGAACAGTATTAGAATAAGCTGTATCAGCATCATTCTGCTCCTAGTTAATACAACAACCGACTTCAAAATGATGGCACCAGAAGCAGTATTAAGTCATTTTGGTTTATTTATGCATGTCCTTGAAAGTACCAAAACGGGAACAAAGATTACAATTCATGACCTTGTTTGGAGTTTACTGATGATGTATGATTACTTTTTCCCAATTCATTTAACCTGAAGAACAGAAGTAGGTGCAACAGTTCAGCTTTCCTCCATCGATACAAACTGGCAGCGCCATAGCACAAGAACCATCAGCAGTAAGAGGACAAACCCACCATTTTCAGCCATATCAAATCCCACCATATTAACTTTAACACGTTTTCAAGGAATGCCAAACCCCGCTCTTATCATTGTCAACAAGGCTAGTATTTGTTTCATCTCAGAAACACGTTACTAAAGCCAAAATACAGCCACTAGTATGTCACTAAAAGACACATCTTATCTGCAACATTTTAATAAAGCAAGCATGCAGATTTATAGTAATCTAGAGCATATATAGCAGAGAAACTTTAAATAATACCTTTTCTAAAATTATTTCCATTAAAAAATACAGTAAAATCAAAAGTATGAGATAATTATACGGCACAGATGCTATCCTCCGAAATCAGCCTTCTTGCACATTTTATATCTATTTTTCAAATGGAATAATGGATCCCAGACATATAGGATTTTGATACTATTTGTCTCTTTTGAGTTCTTAACTATTTGTCACTGCTGTTGTTGACTCAGTACAACTGTGTTTTGAGTTAGGGCTGAAAACAGAATTATCTTTTCTATATCTAAGCCCATCATCAATACTGCATAGTACCAAGCTTTATCATCATTATTGTGACAATCTCCTCCCAAAAGCAAACAATCAGATTGAAGAAATAGGGTACTTCTCAAATTTTGAAGTTTATAGTTCATTCTAATACCCACAATAACATTAAAAAAAAATCTTTGATTGAATAATACTATAATACTCATACCAGGACTTATTTCATTGAGTAACTTTAAAACACACACTTCAACCAGCAATTGTGTCAAACAACTGTGCAATAAAATAAAATTAATATTTATAGTATATATTGGTTCTACAGGCTGTCCCATTCCTCCTCCTCCACTTCAAACATTATTTAATTAGCTTATTTTTACACCTTTCTCAGGTACTTTCTGTTTCTCACATCCATTCTTTCCTTTAGTAGACTAATTAGGCCAGCTTTCACTGAGCACTTTCCACTACAACTGGAAGCAGATCCCCATTAAAGAATTTAAATTGACCTGTTACCCTTTCTTCAAAACTCTCTTCTGCCATTATGGCAGAAAAATTCAATATTGGATTCTGATCTGCTGAAAGCACTACATACTATGCTGATCATTAGTTTAAAGATGAATGATCATTGCTGCTAACACAACACAATTCTAAAGAGATGAAAAACTCTAACAATAAGTTATGAGACCCCTCAGGATCCCACAACACTATTGGAACTGTCACGGACCTTCATTTCACGCTCCTACTTAAAAACCAACAGCTTCTTTTACTCTGAATTACTTAGAATTTCCACAGCAACAATTCATGGGCACTTTGTCCTTTAGGGGACTCAGGCCTTCCCCTGCTGTTGGAAAGCGCAGTCATTGCACAAGCCGTTACAGCGATGTGCAGGATGGGTTGGGAGGATCTGCGCCTGAAGTATCTGTGCTTTGCTTTTTGAACAGCTACCTCAGGGCAACCAGAGATCTGTAAACATTGACTGGATACAGTTCTAAGGTTACTAGAAATTAAATATCATTGTCATTAGACTTAAAGTGAAACTACATGCAATTTTTTTTATTCCAAGAAAGTGTCCAATGAAACCCATCCTCAAATGATGGTTGAGCACCTAAGGCACAGATTAATATTCTGCCTTGTGATTTACCAATTCATACTTGTTTGCTTGTTTTTAAGCACATCTTATGTGCATATAGTAAACTACTAGAATTACCTGGAAGAGGCATACAGAATCTCCTGTATTATTCATGTTGATAATCTCTACTTAAGCAGTCTCTGCTTTGTGCCATGCACTCATCACTTTGGATATGAGGACATAGGAACTGTTTAGAAGTCTAAAAGAAACACATTAAATGATGAAAATGCAAAATACTGAATTCTGTAAGGAGAACTTTGAACAAGTGGTATGCATTATGTTCAAAAACTATTTGAAGAAAGTCCTAATGCTGAAATCACGCTCCAAATCAACTTGTTTTTGTAAAACTACCACCAGCTTCAACAGTCCCATCGCTGTTGTGGAAAGCACAGTGAAAACCTGTGGTCAGTGACAATCAAAAACCAGCAGCAAGATATTAAGATGAGCAAGATGAGTCAAAAGAAGGCATTCCCTCAAAGAACCTTTTGGAATCTGATTATTCTTTTTTTTTGGAATAGCAACTTGCATTTTTAAGGACACAGCACAAATATTCACAAATTGAAAGATGAAGTTGAAAAGATCGGTGTATTTACATAAGGAAGAGATTATTTAGAGGACATATGATAAAAGCATATAAACCAGAAATTCTGTACAAAGACAAAGAAGAAACGTTTGATTCATTCAGCGTCAAAAATCCAGAGATACAATTCCCAGTGAAACAAACATGACAAATGCAAAACCAAAAAAAGGAAATGCTTTTGCCTCCACCAAACAATATTAGCATCTGAAATCCACTTTCACAAACCATCAGAAGCAAAGTGCTTATCAGGATTCAAAGCAAGATGAGACATTTCTGCAGATTATATTTGCAAAACTTTTATAATATTATAAAGGTGACAGTTCTGAATATTTCTCAAACAGGAGCTTTGGAGTAAAATATAAACCATAAGCTTTGGGGCATGACTCAATCACTTATAAGTAAAGGAAGCTTAGAAGCTTCCTTCTAAGGAAAGGAGCACAGGAATTATTTTTCCTAACAAATTTTACTTTAAAGTGTACATGTTTATGGATAACCATTTAATCTTTTTATGTAGAATGAAGGCAGATAAAATGACTCATTTTTCTTTACCCCAAGTTATGGGTCTGTGATATACAGGCAATAACCCATCAAACAATATAATCTTCTCCGCAGGAATAAAGAGTCATAGCCCTTTTACTACATTGTTCCTATAACAGACAAATAATTACTAAGGAGGATTTAATCTCTTCTGGGGAAGCTACCACAAAAATGAATACGAGGATATTTTTCTTTCTTTCCTAATAGTTTTCATTTAGAACCTCTTGAGAACAAAAGCTGTTTTTCCTCTTCTTGCAAAATTTCCCAAAACTATTTCAGGTTCTGCTAAGCCCAACCTGACAGGTAACTAAAAACTTAAAAGTAGGTTATGATTATCTTTTGCATTCCTTTAACATTTGTTTAAAAAACAAAACCACAAACAAAACAAAGCAGCAACAACAACAAAAAAGCCTTAAAAAAAAGAAACTACCAAACACATTAAAAATATTTTAAACCCTGTCTCTTCCATGTCTGACTCTCTCTCTCTTCCATGTTCTCCTGTGAAGAACAGGCTGGGATTTACCAAGGCTTGAGAATACTTTATGTTGTTCCTGAGAGCTGGAGTTTTAAAGTTCATTTTGCATTTCTATATACCACCATCCCCTTTTTATTATCCAAAAGTGTAGACAATATAATAAACTAAATTAAACCCATTTCTTCCTTCCTGCCTTGAAACTTTTTCCCTTCCTTGGATATTTTATTAGCTGAGTTTATCTCTGAAAGACTCAAAATCTTAGAACAGCATGATCATTTGAGGTTAATTCTATGATTTGCATTTAATAGCAAAGGATAATTCTCCTGCATCACAAGGTTGCAGAGAGTCTCAAATTCAGTAATACTCAGAATGGCATCTGTGGAGTTTACACTTTAATCCTAAATTATATTTTTGTAACTAGCAATAGTGTACAGAATTGTTTCATTGGTTTAGGTGGTTTTTGTTTGTTTGTTTTTTAAATTTTACTGTTTCATCAGGAAACACTGGAATCAGCTTATGACAATGTTGCTTCAGCTTTATGACATTTTACTCTCATAGTTTTTTATTTATAACTTCATTTCTTTCTTTTATCTTGGAATCATATGTGGCAATATTTAGCACATTATTAATTGCATGATTACTTAAGCACTTCAAAAGTTGTGTGGGTTTCTGTTTTCTTTTTTCGTTACTTTATTAATCAGAGTGCCTCACTGAAAATACACAGTGAGGATCTGCATTACCACAAGCAACGAAATAAAATTTTGTCCCGAGGGACTCTCTCAACCAGGCTCCTAAGCAGGCCAAAGTCTGCCCTCCACAAGTGCAAGGTGGCAGTTCTGCTGAGCCCCCCCATTACTTCTCTGAGAACCGAGAACTATCATTTCGTGATCACTACGCCCAAGACGGCCTCCAACCACCACATCCCTCACAAGTCCTTCTCTGTTTGCAAACAACTGGTGTTTTAATCACCTTAATGCCTTAACACCTCTAATTCATATTCTCTGCTCCCCCACTGACATGAACTGGCAACATGACACCCAACTTAGTGCTATTAGAACCACAGGTAAGTACTGTAAGTGCAGAATCTCTAGTTAACAATGTAAAAACTCAAATGTCAGAATTTCAGGGTGCTAACTTAATTATGATTTTGAGAACAAGACTGTTGCTTACTTTGGTTTTGTATTGTTCTTCTGTATAACGTGGGAGGCCCTAATAAGACCTGCCAGTTCTATAATTGGCTCAATGCGGACTTCTTTGAGACCAGGGCATGCTGTGCACAAATATAACAACTAGAAATTTTAGCAGCCAGTCTCCCAGAAGCATTGCTGACTGGTACGGAATGATTTTCTGGAGTCTTAAAATCTGTGTGGATTCTGCAGAAAACAACAACAAAACCCCCTCTCTGACAGCACGGTCATCACGTAAGTTAGCATTTTATAGCTTCCAGCACTACTAAATAACAGGCAATGGTATGTAGAGCTAACTATCACAAAAGAAATCAGGTAATGTTACTCCCAGCACTACAAACTTAAACACCCAAGAACAAAAGAAAGCCCAGCAAATTTACTTCATTAAGTCTGACACGAAAACTCCTCTCAGACTTTCACAGAGGTCACCTTTTCCAAAATTAGTTATGAGCAGTGTAATCAAGATTACAGAGAGTTACACAGTATTCATACATTAAAATATATTTTATCCTTTAGTTTATAAATTAATGTTTTTAAAACTGATCATGTTTGAGGGGGGCAATTGTTTAAACACTGCTCACACAAGTTCAGGTTACACTTACATTCATGTACTTCTATTCCTCTGTGCAGTAACTGATGGAGAATAAGAAGAGAAAGGTTTTCCAGCCTTTTTGATGCACAGTGGGGTAAATCCTGCATATGCATACGTTAGGGCTGACATACTGACATGTTTGGGGATTTCTAAGTGTTGAAAAAATTATTTCTGTCAAAATTTGTGCTAGGTAGTTACTTGAAGTAAGGTTTTAAAAGTCCTTAAGTGGATAGCATATTAACAGTGCCCATCTAAATGTGGTCAGTTCAAACAGCTTCAGAAGTCACGGTACATTTACTCAGAATAACTTCTCTTTATGCTACTACCTCTATCAATACAATGCTTTTGGCTCAAAAATAAGTCATGTAAAAAAATAACATGCAAAGGTCCAGAAAAATCAATGCCTACTCCCAACACATGGCATTTCTGCCTGGGTCTGTATTTCTCTACAGAAGATGTGTATTAAAAGGTAGCAGAAAAATATACATCTTCAGACAGTCTGAACTTTGTTCTCCTTCTGTAATGTTACAAGAAAGAAAAACAAACAGCCTAGATTTGCACAAGAAAAGACTACTGGAGTTGGGACAGAGCAGCCATTCCTGATGCAGGAGGAAAGCCTGAGTGTCCTTTGGAGAGTGGGTTCAAGGAAAGTTCAGCAATTTATCCTTTAAATTTGTTTATGGGTTGTCACCACAAATGCCATGGGCCAAATTCAGCCATAAGTAGGCGGAATTTCCTTTTAGCCAAAGCTGAGTTTCATCCCAAAGGTCTCAAATGAACTTTATTGGCAAATCTGAAACACATGTGTACAGCAGCTGCTCCTAATTCTCTACCTGTGCTGATCGAGTGCAACACAAGCTACATCTACAACTGCAAGCTTAGATTACATGAGTTGACCAACTTTGTGAACAATTATTGTGAACTACTAAATCTTTTTTACAATCACTAGGTTTGAAGAACTACTTGGCTAATCTTCCATGATAGATGCAGAATATCTAGACAAGATTTGCGTAAAGAAATATTAAAAACAGGGGAAAGGGCTCATTGGAAAACCTCGAGAAGCAAGCAGAAATAACTTCTTAATAAATATCAGCAAAGCAGACTGTATGACCCTTATTAGTACAATAAAAATGACTGCATAGCTCCTATTAAAATATCTTCCAAGAAGGTTTGAAAGATAAAATCTTTAATGCGCGAGTATCTTTAGAAACATTATTTCATGCTGAAAAAGAAAGTTAAACACCGTCAGAGGTTACATATTTCAGAGTATCAAGTCAGTAAATGAAAAAGCTTGACTAACAAACACTGGCATTTTATCAAGAGATAAACAATCTCAAGAGCCATGAGGAAAAGAAATTTAAATTACAATTTAGAATACAATACTAATGGGATTAGCGCTTCACTTGGATTATTTTTTTTTTAATAGGTAATTGCTTCAGACCTGACTATATTCAAGCCACAATAGGAACAAAATTAAACAGGCTGAGGATAAGAGACATAAATCTGAGACAAAAATGTTTATTCCTTTACACTAACTGGAGAAAAAAGATGCAGAGAAAAATACTTCACAAAATAATAGCCTCAAGATCATACAGTGTAAGTTTTGTACGAGTTCAAGAACTAACATAACAACATCCTCCTAACATCATTGTACTCGTTTACAAATGTGACAGCTCCACAAGAGCACACACCTTTGCAATTATCTTCAAGAGCAAAGCACCTATGAAGTAGAAGCTCCAAGCTACATGCTTATACAACGGCAGGTGACACAGATGCCCCTGTTCCCACCATCTGCTGGTATTCTACAAAAAGTTGCTGCTCCTCTTGGTTGGTCTCACCTCCTCCCTTAGACAGATATAATAATTTTGTCTCTCTCTCTGTCACACCCACATTTTCTATTGGGCTGAATAGCTAATCGCATCAGCAGTGAGGAAAATCAGAAACATCTGCCTCGATCTTTGAGCAACTTTTACTTATGTTTCTTACTCAAAGTTTTTTCTTTATTTTGGTGAGTATGAAAATTTGGTAAGTGGATGAACGGTGCAAGACTCCATAATCTATTTTTAATGCTTACTAAAAAACCCTTATACATTAGTATTCTCAAACGAGATCAGGCCATAAATGCCTAAACACAGTATTAAATGAATAAAATAAAGTATTATAACAATTCATATGATTTTTATAACTCATCATCACCATGCATAAGTATGTATCAGTCCATTGACTTTATTGAAAGCAAGATTCTGGTCTCCCACATGCTGTTCTATTGGCATAAAAAGATCATACAGAAGCAGCAGATGGGGTGAATAAAAAAGAAGAGCAGCTCCTATTGCAGGACAACCAACCACTGTAAACAACCACAGGCAAGCCCTCTGAAGGGCTGCTAAGGAGGGAGTGCCTGGATGTGCACAAGATGGCTTTGGGACGCAGCGCTAGCTCAGAGTGGTACACTTAAACATGGCACCAGATGCCCACCCATGTGAGAAACAAGTTTCATGGGGAAAGAGGTATTCTCTTCTTCTACACCATGCATTATCACTGGAAAAGTGGGAGGTGTCCCTGCCCATGGCAGGGGGGTCGGAACTAGATGATCTTTAAGGTCCCTTCCAACCCAAACCATTCAGTGATTCTATGAAAAAGAAGATATGCTTTTAGGGAAGCCCTGGACTGCTTGAAATACTGCTGCCTTCTCCAAGTTGTATCAACACAACTTACAGGTTCAGGGCCTGTGGACATTTTAGTCCCTGCAGTGGGAATCTGGACATACAAAGGATTTTGGGACACTAGTGCTCCCTATTCTTCCTTTTTCCCAGGCTGTATATACTGTAACGATCCTCAGATGTCCCTCCTGGTTACAAAGCCAAACGTGAGCAAAGGTTTCAAGCTGACATTACTTTAGTATCCTTTTCTTATGCCAGCTGATTTACACTGGAGGAATGTACTTCATATTCTCACTGCTCCTTTATTAACTACAAACATGTCATTCTCCACTGCTTGCATAATGTTTGTCTGTGATATTAGCACTGTACAGACACAAAGCCAAACACACTAAAATGTAGTTCACATCCCTGTCATGTATTGTTGCTTTATAAACTGTTAAATTTTCAGAGTATTTATATTGCTAACCAAATGTTGATGCTCACGCATTTAAAGTGATGACTGCACTCTAGCGCAGTTCATTGCTCAGAACTTCGGAATTCACTGGAATCTTAGAAATTCTGAGCAATCAATTCTGTTGTTCAGTTACAGCTGTAAATTCTAAGTCACTATATTTTGCCTATTTCATACTACAAATTAATATTTTTAGCTCATCTCTTACATTATTCCAACTCTGAAAAATAAAATTTAGTATTTACTATTACTGCTACTTCATCCTTACCTTCTCATATCCTCCTTTATGTGCAGATTGATCAGTTCTTTCGGAACATGGAAAGAGAGGGTGGTCTCAGCCATCTGTTCCCGGATCCGCATCCACTTGTTGTCAGAAGTAGGGAACCTATATAACTTACAGATCGGGTTTTTTAACACTGCAGAGAGGAAAAATTATATCATTGCTTTACTGTGCTTATATGATTCTTTGAAAACTTATGACAGCAATTTCATCAAAAAAACCCAATGTTATTTTCCCCCCTTGCTTCCAGAATTAATTTTAGAACCATTAAAATTCTATTAAAAACATTAAATTTCTATTTAATTTATTATAGCAGCATGTGGAGGACAAAGTATTACTAGTGTAGTATATAAATCACATTTTACCCGCACAGTAGGCATCCTGTGAATTTAGCACTTCAGCGTAAAAGTATTACTAGTGTAGTATATAAATCATATTTTACCCGCACAGTAGGTATCCTGTGAATTTAGCACTTCAGCGCAGTGAGAATGTAAATTATGCTCTCTATTCTTACACTTAAGGTGCAGTTAGGAAGAACAGAATGCACAAATAAACAATGAACCCACATACAATTAATGCCACTGCTTACCATGTGCTAGAATCACTCACATCACTAATAAATTGCACAGGACAAGTGAAGCATGCTTCAGCATTAAGCTGTATCCGATATATCTTCTCAATGATACGCACACACAGAAGTCACTAACACAAATAGATGGTGTGCATCCGCATTAAAACCAGCTGACATGGTCAAAAGGATGCCCGTTTAGAGTTATTTTAAAGTCAACTTGATCACTGACATGGTCAAGAGACTGCTGCTATATAGCAATAAATACAACAATCCTGTAAATATGTTACACACACTGTAACATTATTGTAACTTGACATGGGAAAACCAAGTTACTCAATCTTTTGCAAGGTTATTTTTTCCCTTCCTCCCTTCCCCCC